AAAATATTTGCATTTTGTTTTTTAAGATGCCCCATTGGCAGCAGATGCCATCAGAAATGATTTGCAGATATAGATTTGCATATGAATTGCATAATATACCATTATAGGTAGCAAAATATCAGCATATGGATTTMGTACGTAACTCGAAGTTAGTTAAGATGTAGTATACTAATATCTAATAGCTCTACTGTAAAYTCGTTGAACATAGTTATTACTTTATTAGAATTGTATTCGTGTATACTGTATAGTATGATAACCGATAAGATTTACAATTATCAAATAAAAAGTACACTATACTAAATACTGTTTATATTCTACATACCTACTCTATTATTATTCTAAATAAAATAAAAATAAAAAAATTAGTTTTGTAATATAGTTAACAACCAAAATGCCACTAACAACAGATTCGATTATAATATATATATATATATTAAAAAGTAAATAAATTATTATTATTAAAGACTATACAGTTTTAAAATAGATAATTGAATTTTTAATCCACTATTTAAGTAGCATCATGTAGTGATACAAACTTTTAAAACTTTAAAAACATAATGAAGATATAAATATAATATAGTTTAAATGAAGTATTAAGAACATAATAATTCATAAACAAAAATTAATTATTATGATCAATAATATTACCCAGATAATAGTTGATATTATGTAAATAAATATTGTAATGAATAAAAAGTTAGAAAATATATCAAACATATTATAAACATACTAGTAGTTTTTCAAGATATTCATAAAATAAATCCTACTAAATATTTTCAAAGTTAGTCTACTTTTCATCACATAGATGAAAAAACGAGAAAAAAACTAGTCGTACGTACGTATTTCGTATACATAACCCAACAGTTTGTCCAACTTATCTGCGGCACACRCATTATAGCAATATCCTATCAAAGACTAATACCGTATAATGCACTATTGAACAGTCCACATTGTTACCGTTACAGCTGATTATTATATACACGTACAATATAACGTAGTCTATCACGTACAACTTTACAATCCAGACACATATCACATACGATGATATATTTACGACGGATATTACATTAGCGCATTACATAGGATACTTTTTTTTTATTTAGAACTTCTGGTAAAAACTAAGATGGTTCAACAATTACAATATTAAAATTAGGTACATAACCAATGTATATGATAGTATTAAACATATAATTAAATAGATAAGAATAATAATCAACATTTTGTACCTAAAGAAGCCAATTAAGGCAGAAAAAGAAAATTTAATTGATATAATAAGCTAARTGGGGATAATAACTGRGTAATGCGACAAACAAAAATAGATGGTTGAACTATGGGAGTGAAACGTTTTTGCAGTACGTCATTAAGGAGGGATATTAGTGATGGCCCAATTACGGAATTTAAGTTGGTCGCTATTATACTATTATTTTATATTAGCGTCGCTTCAGCATATGATTTTTCTTGGGGCTTGGCTTGAGCGTCCGGGATCACAACTGAAGGAGCCTTTGGAGAAGTCTTGAGTTTATTTTTATTGATCTTTTTGCAAGATGGGCAACCTTTATAATTTGCGGTGTGTTAACCTGAACATAAAGCACATCTAGCTGGAGAGTCCTTTAATTTATTGCATGATTCCGGGAGATGTTCTTCCCCACATTTAACTCGACGTAGAATGTAGTAGCAATAACTCCGAGTATACCCACAAGTCTGATATTACGTGGCACTGAAAAGGTCCTTTGAGTGGGTATGGTTTTTCGACTACTATTTTGGTGTTAAGTAGAAATTCAATTTTGTAAATATCCAAGTTATTTTTATCCGTCTTGATATCGACGAAAAAGAGTGGCAGGGGTTTTTTGTCCGAAAAACGTTTGTTTTTGTGAACATTGGAGACGTGGTGTTCCAAATCAGAAAGACCGGTAATGATGTCTTCATGTGAAAATGATTGGGTGAAGATAACAAATAACTACGCGTAACGGGCGAATAGATTTAGGCTGATAGGTATGGAAACTGGCATCGGATATGAGAATGAGTAGATTTCGAAATGAAATTGGAAGGTTTAAGAATAGTCAAAAACTAGAAGTGAAGGTGGAGATATCACTCACATTYTTAATATACCTACACTGGCAGAAGTTTTGAAGTTTCATATCTTTTGCGATTTTGACTATTGTTGAAAGATGAGTTTTTGTCGACGTTATCGTGCTGAGGAAGATCAGAGTACCGATTAGGACTGCAGATTAAAGAATGTGCTGATGCTACGTCAAGATAGCACTGGAATGTTTGTTCCCGGAATTTCGGAAAATCGAGCTAGAAATAAATTCTGAAAATTTCATAGCAAATGAATAGTATATGGTTTGATTTTCTAGCACTAAGTGCCGGTGTCAACTTGACGGACATCGATTGGACAATGTACCGGTGTTGAGTCGCTTTTCATCTTCCGAGTTTCCAGAAAATCCAAAATCTAATAAATTTCAAAAATCACTTAGCAAAATCTAGCAAATTCCTAGCAATTTTTTGATATTATAATTATAGTCCAAGTGTATTGTGCCGGTGCTAACTTGATTGGCACGTGCTAATTAGGAAAAACGATTTTGGCCTAGAAAAGAATTTAAAAATAGATGATTTTGATTTGTGGGGGGGGGAGGTCAGAGACACGTGTCTAGAGCCCCCCACCTATTTTTCAATATCACGCTTAATTAAAATACATGCTAATTACAAAAGTTAGCTTGCAAATACATGCTAATTAATTGCCAAAAAAAAATTTGAAAATTCCAATGTGGGAGGGTTGGGGACACGTACGTCATAACTATACGATAATATGATAGTAAAATAAAACGTAACAACCTTTCGTATAGCGGCCATT